AAGCGCCGGATGAATGGTCTCCTCTGGAAGTGTCGCACAAATGTCTTCATTGAACTTAAATCTCTTGTTAACAAACATTGCGTTAAACTGTTTCTCAAGAAATTCATTGAAATATATATTAAAATCTTATTTATAATTGTATTTAAATGTCAATTAAATGATAATGAATTTATTAAACGCTTTATAAACCGATTCATTCATTCATACACTGAATGTCAACAAAACACACATGTCTTACAGTATAGGAATACAAAGCAATAAACTGTTTTGTAGACAACAGTCATAGTGCGTAACGCAAAGTGTCAACAAAGTAGTCTGAAATTGTTTTGTTTGGTTTTCATGTGACAGAGATTTTCATTTGAATGCATTTATAGTAGAAATTGAATTAAAATGCAAATGAATGGCAGTTTCCAGTGAATCCACTCGTGAGTGAGCGATGGGTGTGTCTTGTGTGCAATCCCTGGCCATCCCTAATGGCAAAAGTGGTCAACAGGTGATTGAGTCCATTAGCAGACAATTGGAGTCATTTGGTGGTCAAAAATGCGGACAATATTACGTTGAATGCGATTCTTATTATTCCGTGAATCAGATGACAACACAGACGTCCGACTCGACCGACTCGCCCATCGGATCCAGTGGTCAGACACAGCGTGTCCTCAATCTATACCACTCTTCGGAATATCCGATGAGTTGTTTCGCTCTGTTAGACAGCGGGTCATCACTGGTGGCCGACTCCACCTTCGATGCCATTGTCATGAATCTGTCGGCCATTTATAGCAACAAAAAGATGTCGCGAATCGACTGCAGAGGACAGAAGTGGTCGTTGAGTGACTTCGCCGTACGAATCGGTTCCTGTTCTTTGGGTCCGCACTTGAAAGGAGTGCTTCTGGAGATTGAATACAAGCCGTCGGTTGTAGCCATTCAGTGCTGGGATCTCATCAAAGAGTTGGCGCAAAGTCTGTGTGGATCCGGTCTGATGGACACCAATCCATGGATGGCCTCCCGGATGAACCAAATCTACGCACCGATCGATACAATACAGCAATACAACCATCACTTTAATCAACTGAGGAAAGCCGTCACAACCGCTTCCATGCCCTCCGTATGGACACCAATCCATGGATGGCCTCCCGGATGAACCAAATCTACGCACCGATCGATACAATACAGCAATACAACCATCACTTTAATCAACTGAGAAAAGCCGTCACAACCGCTTCCATGCCCTCCGGAATCGCCACTCCCGTCACCACCAACTCGTCCAACAGCTCCACCACCTCTCAACCCGTCACCAAATAATCACTCATTCATTCAATTTTTATAATTAATTAAATGTACGCTTAAATTAAATTAAACCAAACTGATTATCAATTAATAAAACTCGTATTTTTGCAATAAATGTCAATACTTTAGAAACTACTCAATACTGAAAATAACAGGAATATGAGACTCTATTTCAGAAAGTTGTGACCCTTTGCAGTGCAGTATTGGTTTGACTATTCAGTCATAGCTTTCGTATTGATTTGAAAGCAAACAAATATTTCACAAAACGTGTTAATTGTATGACTTTTTATTTAATTGTTACTTAATTTGATTGATTATTTGATTTTGATATGACTTCTAACATGGAATCTACTGAAAGTGACCTAAATTTAATAATTAATGAAAACTCAATTGAGTCTGAAATGAGTGATTTAGAAACTGAAAGACATTGTAAACCCATTTCCCCGATTGTGATCATAAAAGGACAAAACGTGAGGTCATATAAGAGACCAAAAGGAAAGGACTCGAAGATTAATGGAGAGCGAGTGAGCCGTGAATGTGTTGTTTGGCATAAGTCTCAGTGGTTTTGGGAGGACTGCAACCGAAATAATGCTAACCTTTTACTAGAATCGGCACAAAACGGAACTTTTATTGTCCGCAAAAGCAGTTTATTTAGACTAAATTTGAGTCTGAAATGAGTGATTTAGAAACTGAAAGACATTGTAAACCCATTTCCCCGATTGTGATCATAAAAGGACAAAACGTGAGGTCATATAAGAGACCAAAAGGAAAGGACTCGAAGATTAATGGATGTGTTGTTTGGCATAAGTCTCAGTGGTTTTGGGAGGACTGCAACCGAAATAATGCTAACCTTTTACTAGAATCGGCACAAAACGGAACTTTTATTGTCCGCAAAAGCAGTTTATTTAGACTAAATGGTTGCTATGCGCTGTCAATAAAACTGGACAAGCACATCTATCACTGTCTGATTAATGAATATTTAAGAGGTTTTGGTTTTTCAACAAATCGTACTTTTCATTCATTAGAAGAGTTAGTCCATCACTACAGACACATTGAATCTCTTAAGATTCATAACAAGCTTTTGGACACAAATTTGTTGATTCCAGCCATCAGTTTGTAAATTATTTATCATAACTATTCTGTATTATTCTTGTTATCTAGAACTTTCTGATTATTAATACGATTATAAAAATACCTAATGTTAAATGTTTTACCCGGACATAATTATTAATTAAGTTTTCAATGGTACCAATGTTTAAAGATGTAATAAATATTGACATAGTTTTGTATACAGTTAATTAGCCGGGTCTGTACTGAACTGAATAAATTGCATGAGTTTCACGAATTGAACCAAATTTCAATTTGCATTCAATTATTTCAAGTGATACTATAATAAGGACACAATTGGATGCAAGCATTTCTGTGATCCATATGTTGTTTGTCGTGAATCGTGACTAAAATATATGTCCTCTAATCATATTTGAATAAAACAGTATTCAATTGAATTTGTATTTTATTCAATAGCTGTTCGTTCAAAAGCATACATTTATGCCATAAGAATGAGAAGCTTAAGAATTTATTTTGTTATCATTTATTTAGCATTGAATTCATTTCACGTAAACTCAACGATAAGCGATTCCTTAACGAATTCCTTAACGAATTAAAAGCATACATTTATGCCATAAGAATGAGAAGCTTAAGAATTTATTTTGTTATCATTTATTTAGCATTGAATTCATTTCACGTAAACTCAACGATAAGCGATTCCTTAACGAATTCCTTAACGAATTCCTTAACGAATGACAATAAAGATGAGATAAAAGACGAGAGAGTTATCGGCGGCAGAGATGCCATACTCGGTGAGTGTCCCTATCAGGTGGCACTCCTGGCCAACGACAAGTTCATGTGCGGCGGAGTTCTCATTCAGGCCAATGTTGTCATGACTGCCGCTCATTGTGTTTATGGGTTTGCTTTTCATTTATTATTTTTATTTATTCATAACTCATCACTTCAATTACAATCAAATACTGTATTTAATAATTTAATCCTAAATATACTTCATATAATTTTTTATTGTTCAGCGCCGGTAACAGTGACTTTAAGATACGATACAATACATTAGCCTATAGTTCCGGGGCTACTATTGGTGTGCGGAAAGCTATAGCTCATCCTAATTATAACCCGAGAACTATCCAAAGCGACATCGCAGTCCTAATACTAGATTCACCAGTTATTGGTGGTGTGAACGCTAAGATGTTAGATATATCGCACGCATATGATCCACGTCCTAATTCAATAGTGACAGTGTCGGGATGGGGTCGCATATCTATCGCCAGTAATTCAGTGTCCGATTCGTTAAAAGTGGCGAATCTGACAGTTATTGGTCGGCGTGTGTGCTCTAATATGTGGGCCCCACTCACCATCACTAATAACATGATCTGTGCTTTAGATAGAGTTAGAAGTGCTTGTAATGTCAGTTCAAACATATATTAAATGGACAATGAATTTGTAATTAATTTCATATTTATAAATAATAGGGTGACTCTGGAGGACCTCTCGTTCAAAATGGTGTTATTGTGGGAATCGTATCGTTTGGTTCTTCGCGTTGTCTTAACGACAATTCTCCCAATGTCTACACCAGAGTCAGCGCTTTCGTCAATTGGATCAGATCTACCATTAATCGATACGGATATCCATAAATCCAACTCTTTTCCAATCATTTATGTCTCAAATAATAAACAAATTTATAGAATATATTTTATAGTTTGCTGTATTTTATATTTAATTAAAACAATTTGTTGACTAAATGAATAAATAGAAACGAAAGTCATTTAAATATTTGATTAATATGAGATCTTTTCATACAAAATTTTATTAAAATGTGTAGAAAATATGTATTAAATCATTTTATTATTTATACAAATTTTTTTTGATTAACTTTTAAATTATAATTAAATAGATTAAATATTGAATTTTAAATTAAATATCAGTGATTGGGTAAACACTAGACATGATTCACTCGGCGGTCTGAAAGACACCATTAGTTAGTTTTACGTCGAGGAGTGAGTTCTTGGTTTTAAGTGAAACCTGACTATAATGGGTGACAAGACTGGACAAAGTGGGATGAACTCCCGGATCCATTAGACCAAAGCCATCATCACTCTTATGAATAAGTAATTGGTGAACGAAATAGTGGAGAGAAACGGCCAAAACATACTGTCCTTCATATCGATTACTTTCGCGCACTAAGAAAGTGCCGTCCGGTTTGTCTCTCAACATATACTCGGCCTCTTGATTGGTACAGTTGTGGACAAACCAATCGGATGGCAATTGTGATGTGTCTGTGAGCCAAATGTAGTCTTCATTGTCAGTGTTTGTCAGTTTGTCAATAGAAAGCCGTGGAATATATTCCTCGATCACAATGTCTGGGATTTGAAATTCTCGTTTGGATGAAGAGGCAAACAGTTTATGCTTTGCATCCTTAAGAGTAGATCCAACGCATCCCATAGCGAGCTCTCAATCAATCAATCAATAGATATTTAATCAACTGATTTATTACAAAATCAATTTTCCAGTTATTATAAATACATGAACTGAACGTCTCATTAAAGTCTAAATGTATTAAGAAATATAATTTTTGTGTCCTTCGAAACCACACAACGATTGTTATCTTTTTTATAAGAGTTAATACAGAATAACATGCATTTTAAATGAATGGATTTTAAGTAGTTTTAATTGAAATAAGTAGTAATGAGTAAAATTTGTGTGAATAAAGTTGTGATAAGTTTTCAATGTTAAGGCAATTCATGTCAAACACGTTATCAATTGCGAAGTCAGAGATTAAAAGTGTTTATTCCATAATAAGTCAATTAATTGTGCAGTTTATGACACTATGACTTCATTTTGTGATCATTGATCAGTTAAACTAAAACATATTAACGTATGATAGTGTACTAGTTTATACTTTGTTTGTATGTGAAAAGGAAGAGATTACTACAGTATTAATAATATTCTTAATCAATAATTATGTTCACGTCTTATAACCCTTTAATTTATTATATAATAAGACTAATATAAAGATATACTTATATTATTAGAATTGCAATAACATCAAAATTACTCATTTATATGTTTGAGTATATATTTAAAATACAAACAATTTTAATTAAATATCCTGTTAACTGTAGAAAACATTTGTTTATATTATTATCAATTATTATTTTTTATAATAAATTTTAAATCCCTTAAACAGTTTTCCTTATAATACCATAAATTGAATTCCTGTAGAATTGAACTCATTTTGTTGTGAAAGTCGGTACAATTCAAGCAAAAACTGGATGTTTGAGAGTTGTGTTTAATTTCCAATTGAATTCTGAGAGCGACTGTTTCGCGTAATGCAATACAAACTGCTGTAGAGTTGAGTATTTGTATGGCTCTTTCAAACCAAATCCTAAAATTGATATTAATATTAATCAGTCATTTTATTAGTAAATGTAAAGTTTAAGACTTTAGTATCAGTTACAATCTATTCTTGTATAAATCTTTGTGAAATCTTTATAAATAATTTATAAATAAAATAGTAACATAAATGAGATTATAATGTCTGATGAAACCTGATTATAATTGTCACAAAAATTGACTAAAGACTTTCATAAGAA